TTCATTGAATGATCATATTAGATTGTATAACTTTTCACAGGCTCTTAGATTAATTTACATAAGGTTTAATTGACATGCATGTTGTCTTCTTTTTCATTGTGTTACTATGGTTTAGAAGTATGAATATTTACTAGCTTTCTTTAACTCACTGTTGTTTTAAACTTATTTTCAGGTGTACTTAATTGATTAAAAGATGAGTAATAGACGGAAAAATATTTTTAGGAGATGAACAACACTTAATGAGACAAATTTAATTATACTGCTTTAATTTAATTTTTTTTAGTAATTCTTTCATTTGTTAATAGCTAGTTATAGAAATTAAATAGAGAAAGCTTAATTCTCATTGTCCTACCGTCTGTACCCACCTTGGTTAATTCTATGTCACGCACCGATTCATGATATCTATTAGCTTGTTCCATTGCATTTTTATCTTCGTCTCATTGCACTAATTCTATTGTTTCTCTCAATTCTCATAGTCTCAACACTTGAAGTGATGGTTGAATCTTTGACTTCAACTCTTTAATGAAGTTGCCTTCTAACACTTTGTCTGACATCACTCTCAAATGACCAGATCACATCTCAAAATTTTCCCTATACTCCATAACAGACCCCTCTTGGACAAAAGTAAAAAATTGCTCATGTAATTCCCCTTTTGGAGTGGTTCTGAAACGCTTTAAAAATCTATCCTTGATTTGTTCCCAGGTTTCAATTGGTTAACGTTGTTCTTTCCATTGATGTTGCGCTTTAGCATTCTCTTTCAAACACAAGGCCGCCAACATCACTTTCTTTTCCTCTGTCAACCCATTAACATCAAGGAATATCTCCATGTGATAGACCCAACTGCAGGCATCCTCTCCTTCAAAGATCGACATCTTCAGCTTCCTTATGCACGAGTCTCCTCCCAATTCCATCGCTCGAAGTTCATTCCCTCATCACTCGGAGGTGGCTTTCCTTTCCCGACCCATATTAATTTTCTTTCTTTCAAAAGTCAAGTATGCCCAATAATAAGCTCGCCCGTCCCATAAGCTCCACAATCGCCTTCTGCAAGGTTGGGTGCTGCAACGAAAGGCATTGGTGTTGTTCGATATAGCCCTCTGCTAGAGTCATACCCACCTGGGTTACTTGTTTTGAGTCGAAATCTTCCAATTTGATCCTCTTCTGACCCGAATCGTCTGTCGTCCCATTCTGTCTGCTTCTTCTCGTTCCAACAATCTTGATATTGTCTCACTCCTTCCAACTATTGACGCTTGACTCCACTTCTAGGTCCACCCGAGACAACAATGCTTCTCTGATGTCACATGAATTCTACTGATTACTACTGCTCGTATTCATTCTAGATGTCGTCGCTTGATCCCGCTGCAGGCAACTGAGGGTTTGCATGTGATTCTACATTCTTCTTTATGGTTTCTTCTAAAGCTGTGAACCTCCCTTCCAACCTTCCCTCCATGGCCAATAAACACTCCTCTATTCGAGATCTTATTTGATTGACCACTTTTGCTAGTTTTTCCTTCTAAGCATCACTTTTTTGTCTGCTATTACTCCTGGACGGGTTTGAAACTTCTTTACGTTGTGATCACGAATTTCAAAATTTATAAATGTGGGTTCAGTGTGCATGGAATTCTGGATGCCGCGATCTCAAAATTTTTGCATGTGGTTTGGTGGAACTATTGGAAACCGCACGGAACTCTGGATGTTGCTATCCAAATTTTGGTACATCACAGATCCTGATCACAAGTTTCCATCACAAACAACGCGAAACTTCTTTACGCCGCGATCCTGTTCTCCAGTTTTGTTTGAGTGGTGCGGAACTCCTGTAGGTCTCAATCCTTCGATTTTTCCTGCAATCTTTGGACTGATTGTTCCTTTCCAGCTAGCACTAATCGTAACTGTATTGTGATATTAGGTCAACACCACGACTTTTCTGTGCTTCTCAGGTTCGACCTGATCGTGATTGTATCGCAATATTTCCAACTAGTTACAATAGTGTCACGAGATTCGCCTCTTCCCAACAAATTCGCTACTGTATCGCGAGTATCCACACACCGTGATTCTGTTGCTGCTTCCCAGTTAGCTCTAATCACAACTATATCGCGAGGTTAGGCGTCGAAGGCTACAGACTCCTGTATCCATCAATTCAGTCATTAATTTCTTAGAAATAGAAGTGCCGAAGGCTACATTCTCTCGTATCCATGAATATATTTGTTGATTCCTCAAGAATCGAGAGTTCTGACACCAATTTGATAGGGTTTAAGGCAGAAATAATAAACCTTTATTTTGCTGAAAGCAAATCACGATTACAACTCTCAAGACATAAAAATAACCACCTACAATTCGATAGGTATTACAACTCTGAAGACATAAAAATAACCACCTACAATTCGATAGGTAGGCAAGATCTCTCAAAGCGTAAGTCAATACTCTAAATAACAACAAGCATTCCCAACCCTAAACATTAGAAGCCTATTTATATCAAATAATAATAATAATAATAACTAACTAAATTACCCTTTTAACCTTGTGTCCAAAATTAGTTTTTCGCTCGGCACGGCGGTACACATTGTCAGTGTTGATCTAACAAAAAAGTTTTTGAGTTTCAAAAAATAATGGCGGAGTTACTTGGGAAAATGATTAAATCAATCAGGTGAGTTTTGTTTAGTTTGCAAAAATAATTGATGAATTATTTAGAAAATGCAAGATTTAATCAGGCAAATACCCTGAGTATATTGAAATTTATGTTGGATCAATGATGAGTTCCTGAAAATTGAACTTTTGAATACCAAGTTTTATAACCATTTCATTAATATTCGAATTTCATGTTCCCTCGTTTAGTCCTGCAAAAGATAAGCACAAAATTGTAAAGATTGGCATACAATACTTATAGAATATTCTTTATTATTTGAGGAGCTTATGTCAGGGCAACTACATGTGGGACATCTTTAATATTTACCTTCCTGTGTTGAAAATAAGTGATTAATTTACATAATGAATCTTCAAGTTTCTACCGCCAGCTAGAAATTTAAGAACCCTTTGAGAAAGAAATTTTTAAAAGCAGCAATTGACAATGCTTAATCAGTCGTTCCTTGACATCTTCTTTTTGTCCTATAGAAATTTGATATATGGATGTTTCATTTAGTTTTTGATTTGTGTCCATACCTTGTTTTCAAAGATGCTGGATCTATAAAGTTAGCTGAAAGCCATAATATTACTAACATGTGCAGTGAGAAAGTGGACCAAAAAGAAAAAATGTACTGTGGGAAGCTTTGAATTTCATTATAATAGGCTCAAATATTAGTGATAGCCTCCTCTCTCATTTGTCCCTTTTGCACGCACACACGTTTGCACACACGCACCAAGACCTTGTTTCTCTCCATGATCTCTTATTTGAAGTTTTGGGCTTGGGATTTGAATGCTATGGAAAAAGCTACTTATCAAGTTACATGACTAAGAAAAGTACAAAACAAGGCCAATTGGCTCACGATGTAAAATATTTGAGTCATATAGCATAAACTCAAACTCCAATTAAATCGTTGAAATTGCCGATGTGTGGGGAAGTCGCTGACTTATTTCAGAGAAGTCATTGACTTTATGAAGTGGCCATTTTTATGAAGTCGTGGGCGAGTTGCTTTTGAGCTTGAGCAAGTAGGCTAGACCTTGGGTGAGTATTCTTGAAGGTTCCTTGAGACAAGCAATTTCTTACAAGTTTACTATGAGTCTGATGAGTTCATCATGGGTTTTTGGGCTTCACAATGCTCTTGGCGAGTTCAACTTGCTTCAACTTCGTGATAACCCGAGCGAGTTCATATAGATCAAGGCGAATTCTTGTGGGCTTTTAGTAGGTTGTGCGAGCTCATTTTTATTTTTCTAGCTTGACCAACTTGTCCTAAACCCGATCCTAATTAACCTGCACCAAGTACATAGACTATTTGGACATACAAATATCTCTCATAGTGTCTAAACATGCAAAATCCCCTTTTGAATTTTGGAGTATAGCCTGGGTCCTTATATTTTTGTAATATTTGCATACCAGTTTTTATTTCAGATGATATAAAAGTGCCAAATACGTTTTAATTACATATAATTGTGAATCTTGCCTTCAATGGTGATATTCTTCTCAGATGTGTTTTCATTAAATTAATCTTGTATTTTGTTTTCTGATATAAGGCAGTTTCACATTGATACCAATTGTTTGAAACTTGGCACTTCTATCCATTTATGATTTCACACAGGCCTGTTTTATTTCTATTCATGATATAGTCTGAGCATCTAAAATAATGGTTTGTGTGATTGAATTTTGATTATTTTCTATGCAAAGCGAGCTCATATTATTTGCATAGAAACACAGTTAAGTTCATCAAACGGTCTTATTTGTAAAAAGCAGTGATTTGGCATACATTACAGTTCGAGTCATTTTGCATATAGCATTGCTTTTATTAAATTTTTTGCAGTTGTATTAATAATTACTGGCTATTCGTGTGTGGCTAATTTAGTCCCGGAGTATCAGGTTTCCCCAATTTAGTCTTTTGGCTGTACATAAGTGATTACAATCTTGTCCAAAAGGGACCATAGAGATTAATTTTGTATAATCAAGATGCTAATTTGTAGAAATGCGACACCCTGATAATTAATTGATTAAATACAATTGGTTGGAGAATTATTTTGGATTTTCCCCCAAATAATTTATTTGCTGGTTTGGTCAAGCCATGACTTGGCATTGGACAACGTTCTTGATTGTATTAGTAATTCCTGTATGTGTTTTGATCCTTTGTCCCTAGAAATGGTGGTTTCATCATTACCCAAAACACAGTTTCTTTTCTTTTTCTATTTGTTGGAACAGTCTAGAAGACATCAATGTTGAATATTCTTGATGCGGCCATAGATTTCACTGGCAGCTTTATTGTTCTCTAAAAAGCATTCTTGTCTCATTATCGAAGGTGTGAATATCACGCTTTAGTTATGCCTTTGACTGCTAATGCTCATGCCTTACTCTGAATTTTTGGTAGTGACTGCGGTGTTCACTCTGGCCTACAAACTCCAGCCTGCTATTATTTTCATTGATGAAGTGGACAGCTTCCTCGGACAGCGTCGTAATACAGATCACGAAGTTCTGACTAATATGAAAACTGAATTTATGTCCTTATGGGATGGTTTCACGACAGATCGTGAGTACTAAAGCATAATTTACCTTGCTACCTTAATCATATCATTTTTCTTTTTCAATGGCATATTTTTAAAATTTCTGTCCTGATAATTTGGAAATGGTGTAATGCTATTAGAGTACTTGCTTATATGTTTATGTTATTAGACAGTCACTTAACATCAGTTAAAGTTCTGTGGCCTGCACGCTCACAGACCACACTTAGTGATGCTATTTGAGAGTTCTTGATTGCGCACTGATCTCAATATAAGAATGGTATCATCCAAACACGTACATCAGGTGAGAAATTTTGTGATCTCACTTACCCTTATGATCAAATCTACGCAAAATCAGAATTCATTTCCAAGTCTATTGCATTTAAACTCAAACTGAAGATCATACGTGCTATGACTGACATTATTCTGTTTCTCAGCCTATGGCAACGCTCAGATACACACTCAGTGACACGTAATTCAATTTATAAATTTCTGATCTTTAAAGAGAAGTTTAGTATCATTTATCATCCTAACATTGAATACTCTTCATAAAAACTGTCATTCGATCTCAAGTTCTTAAAATCATTTAATCTTCTATTGATGTTACTAACGTTTTCATAAATGATGGTAGGTGCCTTTTGGACATATCATGATTAAATACATGGTGGTTCTTATAATATGTGAAGCGTGTTAACTAGCTGGTTTTGATTGATAAAGAAATTTGGCTTTTTCATGTGGGCTTTATTAAGGCTTTTGATGTAGCGTATCTTAGTTTGATGTAGCTTATCTTAGTCTAGGATTCCTAACCCAAATAAATGACGAACTAAAAGAAATTTAACTGATCAAAATTTAAAATTCACAGTTCAAAGCCTAACAATTTAAACTACTGCTTGCTCTCTTTTGTTGCAAATCAAGTATCAAATAATAATCTTAAGATAATTGAATTATAAATTCATTGAAAAACTTGAAACCAAAAAAATAAAATGCCAATTAGGATTCACACACTAATAAGAAAACCTAGTTTTTTTAAACTAAAATCACACAAATGAGAACTTCGTTCATTTATACATATAAAAGAGACTAATTTAAGTGATCACTAGATAAATAAATTCCAGCCTTGTGCTGAAACAAGAAGTCTTCTCTTAGAAATAGTTTGCACTGAATTTGAAGAACTCAATATCCTACAAGTGTAGAAGCTTAAATTGAATAATTACTTGCCTTGGATATTTGATATTTATAATCTTAAACTTCCTTACTATTAGCTGCCGACAATCAATAAATATTGGATAAAAAATTACAATTGTAACATAAAAATTGCATCGAAAGGTATGGAAATTATAATGTGAACCATAGTCACCATATAGACATTAGACAAACAAGAAAGATGCTTCTTATGCCACCTACAATTAGGGGTGTAAATAAGTCGAGCCAAGCACGAGTGACCCTTGGTTTGAGAGTGGGTTTATTCAATTAATTAAATATAAGCGTGAGCTGAACTTTAATTTTATGACTTTGAGTCGGCTCACGTGTTAGCTCATTTATTATGAAAGAGAATGATTTTGATCTAATCAGCCACTGCAATAAAATAATAAAAAATGAGAAATAAGAATAATAAAAAATCACTTAATATTAGTAATTAAAGATGAAATTTAAAAAATGTTTTAATAACTTTTCACTTAAACTTTTGTATTCTGATATATTTTAAATATATTATATATTATCATTTCTTAAACAAGGTTCTCATGATTCATTGAGTGGAGTGTCACGATCTGGTCTGGGGGCTTGGAATTAATCAATGCAGAGACAGACGGTAGGACAGTGAGAATTAAGTTTTCTATATTCATTTATCATTTAATAGATGAAAGAGTCATTACTCAAATTAAATTTACTTCGTTACTAGTTGTTCGCGTCTTCTTTAAACATTATCCCTTCTATCACTCATCTTTTAATCAGGAAATTATCTTAAAAAATTAGTTTAAAATAACAATGAGCTAAACAAGCTAGTGAATACTCATAATCCTAAATTACAACAATACGAGAAAAAAGAAAGCAAAATGCATGTCAGTTAAACTTTTAATAAATCGATATTAATATTTGACATAATATCAATGAATATTGCTATATCAATAGCATATCAATATCGTTATATGTCCATACAATTGTGACAAGAGCATTATCTAAAAATTTGTACTAATTAAGACACTTAAATATTAATATCCTTCTCCATATACATGCACATATATTTTAGTGTTCCCAACTAGTACCATAAAGAGATGACTCAAGCATAATCAACCTTGCACATACAAACATTCAATAAAAATAACACCTAATAATAAATATTTCATTCTCATTTGTATTGCGTTAATATTTTGTACAAGATTCAATATTCGTAATAATTTAAACAAAACTAAGCACATATGTCATTCTTATAATATGAACAAAATTTATTAAAACTCTAAATCATATTTATGCAGTACTATAACGATAACAGTAAATTCATTCAGGTAAAAACAATAAAATATTACCATAGTATAAGAACATGAATACTCACATCGAGGTCGATTAAATTGTTATTTGATTTGCCTTGATGTAGAGTCTTCTACATTGAAAACCTAACATAAACATGATATTTATTACCAAACTTTAAATAAATTATTATTTTGTATAGCAATTAATTCTAGTTATTTATGTAGATAATTTCCATATTTTTATTTTACATAATCCCGCTTATTTTTCTATTCATATATATATTATTTTTATTAAATCACTTTAATAAAAACTCTTCCTTACTTCTTCTGCCTAGATCGCACAAAGGGATCACTTCCTTCAAAGCCGCCGCACTCCTTCCCCCTCTCTGCACGCGATTTGGTTGGACTTTCTCCTACAAGAGTTGCTCGTCTCTTTTTCGACGGTCCGGGAGGGGTGCTGATACAAATTTGAATTTGCGTCCGGAGTCCAATGGGCACTTGCCACGTGGCAAGTGAGCCCCACTGTAAGACACTGGTTGTGTAAATTTTTTTAGAGGGGTGGGGTCCACTTGCCACATGGCACACTCCCACTGGACTCTGAACGCATATTTTGCGCGTCTGGAGTCCGGATGTAATAATTTTTCCTGGAAGGGTATGATTGGAGTCCTAATCCACATGAGAATCCTCTGCATGCGACCCTATCTCCTCCTTCGCACCGCAACAACTCACGTGAGGAACTCCGATGTTGTCGCTACCTCTGACACTGCTTTGTCCTCTGTTTGATAACGTCGCTAGACCGCGACGTCCTCTTCTTTCGACTCTACAGGTAAGTTGTGTTCTGCTATGATTTATATAGTCGAACTTCACATCTTTGGCTTTTGACGCTTTCACTTCATCTCCCATTTCTTTGGATACCTAACCCTCTCAATTCATCTCCCCGTTTGCTCGACTCCTCGCTTCTACTCTCTTCAGTTTTCCTCATTTCATGTCGTTGATATCTTCTCTGTGGAACAGATTCAGATCTTCGTCCCTGTTGCTCATTTGACTCTCTTGATTGTGGTCGAGGGTAATCTCTATTTGGGTTTCATCATCCATCTTTGCTAATCTCTGTTGCCGATGACGAATCTTCCACTATATTTCATCCCGATTGGGGTCTGATAGGTATCTGCTCGGGGGCATGGTTAAGGTTTGAGATCTGCAGAAGAAAAAAAGAGAACAAAAAGGCAAGAAGAAAAAATAAAATAGGGGGAAAGAAAAAAACTCAAAGGAAGGGAGAAAAAGAATTGACAGACTCTAATATCAAATGATACTGAAGTTAAATCAACCCACAAAGGTGGAAAACAACTATTATTAAGCAAATAATTAGAGATACAATCAAAACTCGAAACAACAAAGAAAACAAGAAATAAGACAAAGAAGACAAGACTAGCACGATTTGACTACAGCCTAAGAAGAATATCCGCCGATGTGGTCGGTGTAGGCGGAGGTAGCAACAAATGGGGGTGGCTTCTGGAAGGTGGAGGGTAGGGGGGCTAAGGCTTTGGCAGGGCCGCAAGTGTAGTGGTTCCCAGAAGGGTTTGGAGAGGAGCTGCAAGTGTTTGCGCACTGTTGGAAAAGAGGTCCGAGGAGGCACTGGTGTGGGCAGCTGCCCGAAAGGTCTGGAGATGGCGGGTGGTTTGTTGGAGGTGCATGGAGGGCGATGGCTTGTAGGGAGTGCAGGGAGGAATTGGAGGCTTGTAGGGCAGGGAGGAATGAGCAGTCAACAGGGAGTGTAGGGAGGAACCGGTGGCCTGCAAGGACGAACCAATGACTTGCAGGGAGTGTAAAGAAGAATCGGCGGCCTGCAGGGAAGTGCAAGGATGGTTGGTGGCAGTTGGAAGATGCTGCTGGCAGCAGGAAGGTGGAGGATCAACGGAGGTAACCACCACCTTGGATGAGTTACAGCCGGAGCACATTCTCATTTTCGGATACAACCCTCAAAAGGGAAAACACGCTCACACACATTCATAAATAGAATAAGTAAGGATTAGAATAAGGAAAAAAAAAAGAAAATGCGAGTAATTAAAAAGGAAGGGGAATAGGAGTGAAACAAAAAATCATGCATACATAAAAATCTTTCGTAACCACAAAAAATTATACATTCAAAAGCTATATAAAATGATAGATCACCAGGTTAATGATTCACCTGATCTTTTTCCCTCGTTGAATTAAACTTTATAATGTTTGATGAAATATATGCTCAGTGAGATGAGCAATATTAAAATAAAGTTTAATTATTTAATGATGAAACAACATGCATGAAATCGGCTACTAAAACTAGTAATTGTAGTAATATAAGTAGATATGTTTATAGACACTATCGTTTGTTGTGAAAATTGCAGCGGAATAAAACAAGAATCGACACAAACTAGAAGAAGAACACAGAGATTTAACGAGGTTCGGCAAAGAATTGTCTATGTCCTCGGGAGTGAGCGACGGTTTCACTATTTCAGAGAAGTTACAATACATCCCATAGGGTTACACATATATACAGACATATACAAACCCTCAGATAAAATTACAATCACGCCCTCATTCCTCCCAACCCCCTTTATTTCAAGAGACACTCCTTTTCATCAGGAGACACACCTCTTCACCAAGAAACTCCAACTCCCTAGATATGAGCCATACCTAACAATTCTCCACCTTGGCAAATATCCAACACTTTAGGAGATATACATCACCCGGTATATGTGTCTACCAAACAAATCTCCACCTTATTGAATATTCAGCCCCTTTAGGAGAAAATCTCATGGAGTTTCTTTATACCAAAGTGGGTTGGGCAACCAAACCATCTAACCTGGCTTGGTCAAAGTTCCTGTTGCATTTCACCATATGATTCAACAGAGCGATCTCCACCTGCAACTGTACTCTCTATCAGTTTACAAATGTTACCTACAGTGATTTTCCCTTTCATCACAGTCAGTGCGCCCTTCACAATTTCGATGGTTTCCCTATCCTCATCTGCCTTAGAAATGAAATCATTTCTGTGTAGAGTGCCCAAGGAAATCAAATTCTTCAACTCTAGAACATGTCTGACATCACATAATGTTCTAACAGTATCATCATATATTTTAATTCTGACTTTACCAATACCAGTAATATTGCATCGTCTATTATCACTCAAATAGACTGAACCAGAATCAAATAACCTGTATGAAGTAAACCACTCCCTGTTATGTGTTATGTGATAAGAATATCCTGAATTAAGAATCCATCCATCCTTTAACTGAGTTGTTGTGACTGAAAGCGCATCACCATCACTGTAATCTGTAATGTCACTCTGCACCATATTCACTGCCCTGGAAGATACATCACGAGTCTTCTTCTTGAGCATTGGACAATCTCTCTTCATATGTCCCTGTTCCTTGCACTTAAAACAACGAATCTTCTTGCCTTTAGGCTTTGACCTGGAACTTTGCCTTCCAGAATTTTCCTTCTCTTCCTTACTTTCACGATCTTGATTACACTTAGCATATAAACAATTACCATGAGAACTTTCCTCTGCATTTTCCTTCCGCTGGTTGTGAGCCAACAATGCTGCAGTAATCTCATCAATTTTAATTGTTTCTTTCCCATATGTAAGAGTAGTTACCAGATGTTCATAAGAAGTAGACAATGAACACAAAAAAATCATTGCTCGGTCTTCATCCTCAATATTCACATCAAGTCGTGCCAGATCCGTGATTATTTGATTGAAGACATGCAAGTGCTGAACCAAATCAGTGTCTGCCTGCATCTTCAGCCTATACAGCTTTTGCTTCAGATACAATTTATTCGTCAGAGATTTGAACATAAATTGAGATTCCAATTTCTTCCATACTTCTAGAGATTTCAGATTCATAACATGATACATAATCTCATCTGCGAGACATAAACGTATGGTACTTGCCGCTCGAAGTTGTAACTCTTCCCAATCTTCATATTCCATATTATCAGGTTTCGTAACCCGCAAAACCTGCAAAATTCCCTGTTGTGCGAACAAATCTTTTACCCTTGTTTGCCACAATCTGAAGTTCCCGGTTCCATCGAACTTCACTATCTCGAATTTTGCTCCAGACATTTCTATTTGAAATTTAATCCTGCACCGTATTTTCTTGCCTTGCTTCGAAAAACAAAAGAAAATATTCCGCAAATAAATTCAGAGAAACCTGAAATTTTCTTTGTCAAATGCAACAACTATTCCGCGATTCTCCTGTGATTCGTGAATCAAATTTTCCCACGAAGCACTTTTCCTGTTCGTACCAGTACCTCGGCCAATTGCTGTTTCTGCGAGTCACGAATTCCTTCGCACCTGTTCGAGGAATATCTCCACGAAACTCCTGTTCACGAAATAATCACACCTGCTCGCCTCTTGCACCCTGCCGAACTCCACCTGTCGCAAAATCTCCTGCGACGAACCGAATTCCTCAGATTTTCCGCAAAACAAGGCTCCTGTTCGCGGTTGACAGCCTCTATTTTCCACGGATTGTTGAACCTGCCGAACTCCTCTGTTTCCTGAAACTGCACGACGGTTCAGGAAACCTCGCGCGCCTGTTCGTCCTTCGCGACTCCCTGAATCGCGATCCTATCGCAGCCCCTTGCGGTTTTCGTAACTGCCTCGAGATGCTCCACGCGAATGCCGCGAACTCGAATCTCGCGATTGCGAACCCTGCGAACCCTTTTGCTCCGCGCGATTCCTTCCTTTGCAGCAGTGCAAAGCTTTTCTTCTCCGGTTGCGGTGACTCGCCCGGCCTAGTCGCAGATCGTCGCTGCTTCTCCCGCTATTCGCAAGCACCGAAGACCCTCGTCGTCGAAGCCCGTTCGCGAACCTTCCCGGTCGCGACACTCTTCTTTCTGAACGAACTGCTGTTCGCACTCCTCTCGCCGGCTCTTTCCCAGAACTGCCGAAACAGGTCCCAACTGCACGATCTTCCTCCGCGAATCTCCTCTGGATCGAACTCCGCCGAACTTCTGTGGCGATCCTTCCTGTCGTGATCCCTATTCCTCTACGTGAACTCGCGAACTCGTATATCACACGAAGAACTGCAGTAGTTCTTCTTCCTCTGGCCGAAATCACCGAAGCCAGAAAAATTGCGAAGCGCGAACTCCGAAATGCCGTGAAACAGTTCGCACTTCCTTCGCCTTCGCCTCCGTCTGGCCTCGAACTCCTTTCTTCTTCTTGCGTCGATCTCCTCCTGTTCCCTCGAAAGAGGCTCTGATACCAATTGTTGTGGAAATTGCAGCGGAATAAAACAGGAATCAACACGAACTAGAAGAATGACACAAAGATTTAACGAGGTTTGACAAAGGATTGTCTACGTCCTCAGGAGCGAGCGGCGGTTTCACTATTTCAGAGAAGTTATAATACATCCCATAGGGTTACACATATATACAAACATATACAAACCCTCAGATAAAATTACAATCACGCCCTTGCTCCTCCCAACCCCCTTTATTTCAAGAGACTCTCCTTTTCATCAGGAGACACATCTCTTCACCAAGCAACTCCAACTCTCTAGATATGAGCCATACCTAACATCTATAACATTTGTCATAACTATATAAATCTGCTACTGACATGTCATTTTATGGTTCGTGCACCTAGCCTTGCAGATCGTTGCATTTGCACTTCATTTTATTTGTTATTCGATGCTTGGTTGATGTAAGGAATCCTATCCTACTAATTTGGATGCTATGGACACATTGATAAAATTCGTTTCATGAACAGGCCATGTTTGCGAACTTATCAGGAAGATTTTTTTACCCTTTTTATCGTGCGATATATTGAGTAATGTGGGTTTTCTTAGGCGAAATTGTCGTTTTGGACGTTTTGGTGGAGTGTGCTTAGTTGAATGAGCGATTGCTATTTGGTGTTTCTTTGTATGATTTTTCTTGACCTCAATTTGTTTAGTACTTTAGTGGTCCATTATTTTTTGTCATGTTTGATCGGATTGTTTGTGATTTGGTCCTTGATAATCTCAATGCTTAAGATGCATTGGTGTGGTCTGTTCTACAATTGAGTCTTGATTGCATGACTTGTATTATAGTGGAAGTGTATCGGTCGAACACGATGTCATTTCTATTAGTAGTTATATTTGTTGCACTTGGTTGATTTGGGTTTGAGGTCAACACCCTCACATGGAGTTTGGGATGAAATTAGACTCTTTTTCATATGAAGCCAATCACTGAGCATTTCTCCACCCTAAATTATAAAACTTTGGAGTCGGATTAGGACAACTCCATGTTAGCTCTACGTGGATGATTATAACAAGCAGGTACATTTGATATCTTTTTGCGTCATTCATGTTGTTGGTAAGTCCTCAGTTGAAGGTTTAATATGTTTCTCAACGTGCTCGTCTTGATTATTTTCGCATTGACATTTTCGCATTGACATTTTCGCATTGACATTACAGTACGAATATAATCTGAAATGAAACCAGAGTAATTTTATCGAACAAAAACATATCTTTCTATTTCTAAAGAATAGAAATCTATTTCAAATATTCATTGGTAATAAGTAGGCAACAAGATCATTCCCGAACTCATGAACTCCACATATGGAGCAACTTAAAACAATGCATGCCAGCCAAAATTAAACTGGAGACTTCTATCCATGACTTAGATCTTGTTGATGGCATACCTACAGCTTTTGGAGCCCATTACTTGTTAGAACACATTTAAACACAGCTGGGATTGCATGATTTGCCAATACTACATGAAATGTGAAAGTTTTTATTTTTATTTTTTTATGTACGTTTGTAAATAAGATTAAAATAAGTATGTTTAAATGGATAGAAAGTGGTTGTTAGAGAAGTTGATTCTCCTGACTAGTCAAGAAAATAGCCTACAACAAAATGTCAGTCTCTTATATCAACTTCCTCGTAGCAGAAAATTTCAAATCATAAATACTTCGTGAACTGCATTCTGCATTTTCACAATTTGTGTTTAGCTGACACAAATTGGGATAACATGCTAAATGATTGGAAAGCTACACTTTTTAATATTAGAGAGCTTGTAAGTGGATATGGAAGAATGATAGAAATAATCTGATCGTCTTAAGATTGCCTTGTGCGCTACAATTTATTTGTTAAATATATGTTTTTATTTTTTTATCTTTTTATGATATCTTGTTTTTTCTTCAGAACTCTCACTTGGATATTCTAAAAATTTTGATAAAATTACACTGTAACAGAGAATGCACGTGTCATGGTTTTAGCTGCTACAAATAGGCCAAGTGAGCTGGATGAAGCTATACTTAGGCGATTTCCGCAGACTTTTGCGATTGGGAGGCCCGATCAAACTGAGAGATCTAAGATACTCCAGGTAATTTTAAAGGGGGAAAAGGTTGACAAAGATATTGACTATGATAACATAGCCCAGCAATGTGAAGGCTTTACAGGTTCGGATATTTTTGAGCTTTGCAAACAGGCAGCCTACATTCCAGTTAGAGAGTTGTTGCAAGCTGAGAAGGATGGAGAAGGCCACAATGTAAGCTCTGCGCCCTTTCTTGTTAATATTTCATTGTTTTCCCAATAGTTAAGGCGAACTACCTTTGTTCCTATCTCATGTTAGTTTATCACAGGATTAACCCAATACATTTGACCATTTGAGATGATGAATTTAAATCAAAGCGCATTGGTTTCTTTTATTTGATTCTAAAGTTTTTAACCTAACTTATCATCCAAATCGAATTAAACCCTTGAGAGTGCTAATGGCTTAGGATGTTATGAACACAATTTAGTTAATTTCAAATAATGTGTTGACCATAAATTAACAAATGGGTCAACATAAATCATTTAAACCTCTTAAAATTAAAATTGGTTAAACCATGCCAAATGATCAAACCAAATTGTTTAACTAATTCTATACAACTTAAACTCGGAATTAACCCTTGCAACTAGTTTAGCCCATGTTAACTCTATTTACTATGGATTAACCATTAGTTAATGGGGTGATCCATGAGGATAAGCTTAAGTACAACTAACCAGTGGTAACTCTCTAACATTCTACTTAAGTCTCTTTGACCTTTATGTTTACATAATCAGGTCAAATGACATCAATCTGGCGTGCGGCTCCCCCAGGGGCTGAATCGGCTGGAAATAGGGGACCAATTTAGCCATGGGGGGGCATGGGCTGGCCGGGTCTTATTTGGGTGCAAAAGTTGCCGCCCAAGGGTAGGGGCCTTCCCCTCCTAGTTATCCATTGTATGTCTTCGTTTTTTTTTGTTTTAGGGTTGGATTTTGTTGGGATTTTTGTTTGGATAGGTTGTGATGTAGTTTTAGGCTGGGAATCTATCACCCTCAACTTAGTAAATGACAAACAGTTTGTTGATAACAAAGCGAAGGCGCTCTTCATTGAAAATCTACTCGGTGAAGTAGAAAAGAAGATATGGATTCAATGGAGAATGGCGTTCGAGGAAGAATACGAAGCATTGATTAATATTGTTGACGATCCTCAGAATGTCTTGTCACAAATAAGGCGAATTATACTGCTTGAAGATCCGTATCAGGGCTCTACAGATGAACAAAACAGAGTCTATATTGACCTTGAAAGACTTGCATGTTCTGAAATTAAGAGCATGTTTGAATACACGAACGATTATAAAGTCTTATCTGCAAAATCGGGGAGAATGTACATCAATTCAGAATTGTCTGATAAATCCTTCCGAAGAATGCCCCCAATCATTGAAAATTAAATCGAGGAGGCCTTCAAGAAGAAATATCCAGGTAACACTATTGGTCTTTTACCTAGAATAAGATTTACTTATCAATATCTTGCAGATCTTTGTAAGAAAGTTGTTGTACAGAGAGGAATAAAAGGCCTATCTATTTGCAAGAAAATTTCTGTGCCTGGTTATAATAACCAGCATAAAAGATATGGTTTATGCATGTCAAAGAACTATAAAGGAAAGCCTCATGATTCTCATATACGTGTTATTAAAAATAAAAACCAGCCCAAATCGTCAAAGTGCAGGTGTTGCATATGCGGTGATGAAGGGCATTTTGCAAGAGAATGCCGCAGTAAAAAGGGAAATATGGCAAGAGTTGCCATATTAAATAATCTTGAATTACCAGATGACTATGAAGTTCTGTCCGTAGACTTGAATGAAGAATCTTCTGATGCAATTTGTTCAATATCAGAAGGAGAATGAGTCAATACTCTTACCCACATTAGAAGTACTTTAGAGAATTGCCCAATAGAAGAATATGGGTTAATGCTTAAGGAAGATCATGGATGACGTTGCGTCATCAAGCTCAGCAACACTCAAGAGAATTGTTCTCATCAATGGGTACATAATAAACCCATTCAAGGGCAATATTATCGATGCTCTTACTGTTTCATTATCACCAATATGAACATGAGAATACATTGTGTTCTTTGTAAATTAACTGCATGTCCGTTATGTGCCAAATTCTATCTTTCCATAATTGTTCAAAAAGAATTATCTCTGTTACAATTTCAGTCGACAGATAATTTGATACATGAGTAAGTTAAATATACTGAACATCTTCTCGAGGAAAACAGAAGACTCAAGGAATAGCTCTAAAAGAAATATTGAACAACAACTAACACAAGATATGCAGGAACTGGTCCTCACGACAAAGGAAAGAGTAATCTTTGAAGAAGGCGATGATAATAAAGATGATGAGCTTGAAGAAGAAGCGGACCAGTTGACTATTTATGAAGCTGGAATAAAAGTTCTTAGTGAATCTCTGAAGGAACAAGCCGAAAAGCCCGCTAAAAGAATTATTAATAGATTATATAATCTCATGATTACTTTTGAAATTCCAGGTGTTGAACGATTTAAACTCCGCGCCATCTTAGATACTGGAGCTACGTCTTGTTGTGCCAGTATTGGATGTGTTCCAAGAACAGTGCTGGAAGACTTAAGCTACCAAGTTACCTTCAGCGGGGTAAACTCAACTACACAATAATGTAGAAAGATGAAAGGTGGAACTATGTACATCAACGATCACAGCTTCAGAATTCTTCTAGTATACTGTATGGAGATGGATGTCAGAGATGACATCCAAATGTTACTAGGCTGCAATTTCATATGAAGCATGCGTGGAGGAATTCGAGTTGAGGGTGATACGGTAACCTTTTACAAAGAAATTACCCATGTTCAAACTACCACTGACATAGAGGTTGCTGCTAAACAAATACCTGAACTAGAAATTGATTATGATTTTTACACAGAAATGCAACCTGAATTTTTTTATTCTAATGTTCTGTTTGATGAAAATCCTTTTGTCAAAAAGTTTAAATCTATCTTCCAGAGATTGCAGAACAGTGGATATATATGAGAAAATCCGCTCAAATACTGGAGTAAAAATCAAGTCGTATGCAAAATTGAAATCATTAATCCAGACTTAACTATTCAGGATAAGCCGCTTAAACATGTCACACTCGCAATGCAAGATCAATTCAAGCGACATATTGATAATTTGTTAGAACTGAAGGTCATACGTCCTAGTAAAAACAGACATAGGACAATGGCGATCATTGTCAACTCTGGTACAACGATTGATCCAAAAACAGAAAAAGAAGTACGCGGGAAAGAAAAAATGGTTTTTAATTATCGATCTCTTAATGATAATACTCACAAAGACCAGCACTTCTTACCTGGTATCTACACCTTGCTTAAAAGAATTAGCAACAGTCAAATTTATTCAAAGTTTGACTTAAAAAATGGATTTTACTAGGTTGCTATGCACCCAGAGTCCATTGAATGAACTGCGTTTACTGCACCAACGGGTCTCTATAAATGACTGGTCATGTCATTTGGTTTAAAGAATCCGTCTGCCGACTTTCAAAGAAAGACTGGACTCGTGTTGTAAAGACTGGACTCGTGTTGTAAAGACTGCGCTGAATTTTTAGCAGTTTATATTGATGATACTATTATTTTCAGCAAGAATGAAGATGATCATAAATTTCATATGGAGAAATTTCTCTTCATTGTTGAAAAAAGACTCGTGCTTTCACCAACAAAGATGAAAATAACAGTACAAGAAATATATTTTCTTGAAGCGGTGATTGGAAAGAAGAAAATAAAACTCCAACCTCAAATAATAAGAAAAATTGTAGATTTTCTTAGTAACATGCTGAAGGAAAAACAATGAATGAGATCATGGTTAGGTATTTTGAATTATGCAAGAGCTTATATTCCTAACCTTGGAATTTTATTAGGTCCATTATACCAGAAAACATCTCCCTATGGAGATAAAAGACTAAAGGAACATGATTGGGCTTTAATTCGAAAAATTAAAGATCTGGTTTAAAAACTTCCGGACTTAGATATCCCTCCCCAAAATGCATACGTAATACTTGAAATCGACTGGTGCATGGAAGGATGGAGAGACATATGCAAATGGAAATTAGCAAATAATGATCCCAGAAATTCTGAGAAAATCTGTGCTTATGCAAATGGAAAGTTTCCAACTATCAAATCAACAATAGATGTTGAAATCTATGCCTGTATGGAATCACTCAGTGCATTAAAGATACATTATCTGGATAAAAATGAAATTACTATACGCACAGACTGCCAAACTATCATATCTTTCTACAACAAAACAGTACAAAATAAACCCTCAAGGGTTAGGTGGCTTGCGTTTACAGATTTCATTAATGGGTTTGGGATCGCCGTAAACTTTGAACACATTGACGGCAAGTACAACATTCTTGTTGATGCTTTATTTCGCTTAACATTTGTTCTTTGTGTAGGAGAAGAAGAATTGGTTAAATTTATTTTCACAGATTCACAAGAATGAACACCAGAAGAGACAGAAAAAGTACTAAAGGAAAGGAGGTTTATGTCGAAATTGAACCAAATTTTCTTGCGATGCAGTCAAAGAACTATGGAAAAGAATTCTTTCTGGCAACATGGCCAGATTTCTCAGCTATGCAACCCAAGGAAGCCAACGACTTACATTAGGAGCTCTTATGGGAAACCATGAATCACCCAATAAACTTCGAAGCTCACACAAAGCTTAGAGCAGCAAGAAGGATGGAAGAATACCATGTTATGAAAGTCCTCAATGAGTTACGGATTCTCCAAGGAATGTACGAGAATAAATCTAGGTATTGTAGATGTATGTCTACTAAGGATAACGAATGGTTGGATGCCTCGCCGTATGTCTACCGAATGGAGAAGCAATTGGCCAGCCTGATTGACGTAGTTGCTGACGTAACTGATAAAGGCTTAAATAATTCAGTTTGAGTGGAGCACATGGTGGGCTCTACCCATCACTTATCATCTTTCTGATATATTGCGTGTAAAACCGAATAAGCATCTTTGCTTTCGGTCGAGTATATGATTGTAATTTTAAGAAGCACATGTTGGGCCCTACCCACCCCACCACTTATTTCTGCGTGTAAAGCCAAATAAGCATCTTTGCTTTCGGCTGAGTGGTTTTCTTTTTAAAACCATGGGCTACTTTCCACCCCTGGTTTTTCTTTTTCTATGGGCGAAACCGTGGCTTTGTTTCTTCCCGTCTCTCTATATAAGTGTGTTCTGTCTAGAGTTGCAGGCACTAGAGATAATCCGATAATCTACTTCTCTCTGAGTCTTTGTAAAATTTTAAGTGTTCAATAAAATTATCTTTTATCTGTTGTTCTTCCAGCATAAGTTCTAAGTGACCCCAAGCCGGCGATCTTTAAACACATCCGTCTTTTTCTGATTGTTGCTCGTTGTCCTCCACTCACGAATTGCCTTAGCTCCCTCCCAGCTACCTTGCTGCCGACCCTAACTCCCTTCCCTGCTCACTGTTTGAACCACAACCCACCATCCCTCCTGCTAATCTAGTTGCTACTTACCTACCACCATCCCTTCATCCAGTGATGATGTTGTGATTCCTTCCAATTACCAACACTAATGTCGTAACTCCCTCTCGCCTCCACTATCGTTGTTTAGGTCCTCCTTACCACTTGCTACTCGCACAACCCCTCTCAACCCACCTATGACTGCACCTAATGCCAACCCTCTAATTGTTGCCACCTACCCACCCGTCTTCTTTTTGTTGCCGCCAGCCCTAGCAATTCATCCCTCACTGCGGTCCCACGGCTTGTCCTACTTAACCGTAGCCGGATATTGGTGTTTTGTTCTGTTTTCTTTTTTGTTTCGAGTCTTGATTGTATCCCCGCAATTATGTTGAGGATTAAAATCCAAGGTTTAAAAAATCAGACCGGACCAGTCGGTTCGACCGTCAAACAACCATAAGTTTGGTTTCAGTTGTCATAAAAACCCCTCCCTCAACCAGGTTGAACCGGGGGTTTAACTGGCAGCTTATGCATTAAGTGAAACCAAGTTAAACATCTGGTGATTTATCTGAATTATTTAACATTTCTATTTTTAATAATTAAAATAACAGATATTTTAATTATTTAAATATGAAAAATGCTTTTAAATATTTAAGTAAATTAAGAAATTATGTAAACATGTCCTAGCAATGGCATGAATGCATATGTGAGTATAATTGATGCCTTAGAAAGTCTCTTCCGAATGTTTTTAGATTATTCATCACTATAATTAATCAAAATATAAAACCTAAACTAGATCTTTGGCATGAACTAGTTGAATTTAACAATATTAAGTAGTTGAGCGTGTTTCTAATGATTTTGTGTTAAGCTCATTTATTGAGTACTTTTATATTCCATCTCACTTTGTGTGAATCAAATAAGCCATAACCATCATCTATATTTAATTTAATTAATTTCTAGCATAACTACATTATCCGTACAACCAGGGAAATAAGAACCACTTTATGAGAGACAGTTAGACTAGGAATGATGATGATTTTATCGATCTAAGTCAAGGTAAAAATTCTTATTTTTTGATTGGGTCTACCCCCTAACAAATATCTTGACTTGCATAGTTAAATTGATGATTTTTTAACTGTTATGACATGGATGATTATCCGAGAGTGGATTATGCTAAAATACAACTTGTCAATTATATAAAAATTTATTGGTATCACATTTTAGAAGGTAGAGAGACCGAGAAGGGCTTTTCTTAGGTAAAAAGGAAAGAAAATGCTAATGTTAAAATACAGTTCTAGTAGCTGACATTATATGCATGTTTTATACAAAAGACCACAAAATAACTCGATAGAAAATAAAATACAATGACACAATTCATATGAATCATCACATTCTATGATTTCAAATGGTTGAGATGAGTAGACTTGCAGATTTACATGGTAGGTTTGTGCTTGGTTTGTACCATCATCAAACTTATCAATTATATTGCTACCCATAAAAGCTCGGTTTTTTCTTTTCTTTCTTCTTTTCCATGTGTAGCATTATCTTTGCCTCCTCATACAGGCTCAAAGAGCATTGAAGCAGTCAGACTTGGAGAAGGCCCTATCAACTGTCAGAAAGGATATAAGATCAACATTTGGATACCAATCAAGCTCACAATCACCTCCATGGGATTGTCCGACGGATTCAGATGACGGTCAGGTGCAGAACGCCATCGTCCAAATCTCAAAAATAATGTCTCGTATTATGAACAGCCAGTCTGAAGCTCCTGAGCCTTAGAAACTGTCGTATTGTTTTTGGAGCAGCTTCCTCACCTAGCCTTTGGGAAGCAGCTCTGTAGTTTTTAATATATTCGTGCTTTAGGGGATGATGTTTTTAGTGTTGCTTGGAAAGTAATGGAAAATAGTAGGCAAATAACGGATTAAATAGTACGTGTGGATAGGTAGGTGGGAATAGGTACAGATTTGATGGTATCGTCGTGGCATTCATCACAATATCTCCTAAATACCACCAATCCGTATGTACAGATTCCGCGCGTAATTTGCGAGCTACCGAGCAAGTGGAGTTATATTTTTGTTTATATCTTTTAGAGGGTTTTGACATTTTTATCGTCGTTCTGACCAGCGCGTCGGTGCTCTAATTGAAAAGCTTTATAAGTACCGCAAACAAGGAATATTACTTCGATAATGTGATGCACATTATTCTCATGAGTTTTAAATCTAGTTGTGATATATTTTTCACCATTGGATTATTTTTTAAATGTGTAAATGCGTAATAGAAAAACTTAATTGATTAATTATATGTTATATTGATATCAAAATAATTTTAAGGATCTGATAATTCATTTTTATCAAAATTTGAATGAACATGTTGGCCCAAGATTTCAGTAGCTTTAGAAGATTGGGGGTAGCATGTGGCTGGTGTTTGAAATGAATTTTTTAAGAGAAATTTATATATTTGCCACAATTTTATATATTTATGTATATAACTTCCAACATTTAATATTCTTATAACATTTTGTTGTCCTGAAGTTATTCATGATCTGATTTAGAAAAGATCTGAGTGGTTTATGTAGAGATGAATAACATGTGATATGAAAATATCATATTTTGTGATAAATGAATAATGTGTGATGTGTATGCATGTATATACATATTAGATTTGTAAATAAATGAAAAATACATATTACATATATGTATATAGTATGTTGTGTTTTTTCGAGTGATTTTAAAGACATTACAACATTCTTATATAATTGCTTCTAAAGCGCTAAAATTAAGTGATTTTAAGAGGTTAAAATCATGTTATGTAGTATGTTGTGTTTTTTCAAGTGATTTTAAAGAAATTACAAAATTCTTATATAATTGCTTCTAAAGGGCTAAAATTAAGTGATTTTAAGAGGTTAAAATCATGCAATCTCGATTTCTGTCTCCACCACATGAGACCGAGAAAATATTACATGCGGACTCCGGACGTTATTTGCGTGCTGAGTCGAATGGTCAATGTTAAAAATGGTGGGATCCATTTAACACGTAATATTTTTTCCATTAGAGCGGCCTTACCTTCCATGCTGCAAAAGTGTTTAGATACAGAGAGGGACGCATGGGCTCCTTAGGAAATTAATAGCCGGTGCAGCATGCATAGAATGGATATATCGGTAATTAAATTGCGAGCAGAACTAGTGAAGGGCACAGAAGAGTAAAGGGCAAAGCGAAGATCCTGAGGAAGGGTTGAAGAACTGTGATGATGAAGTTTTAGCTTAATTATTTTGAGAGGAGTTCAAAACTGTTAGAGAACGCTGGAGAACTATCTAATTAGTGAAATTAAACTATAATTTTATAGCTTGCTCTGTTGCTTACCTTTATCATTAGACTAGGGGTGTAAATGAGGCTCGCTCGTGTTCGGCTCGTTCATATTTTGAGCTCAAAAAGCCGTGTTCCGCTAGTCTGCTTAGCAAGCCGAACATGAGTCGTGAAATCGTTTTAACAACTCTAATCACGTAGTCATATAATGTTAAGGATTGAGGCAAAATTTAATTGTTCTGCTAGTTTGCTTAGCGAGCCGAACATGAGTCGTGAAATCGTTTTAACAGCTTTAATCACATAGTCATATAATGTTAAGGATTGAGGCAAAATTTAAAACATCATTTGAATCTAAATTAATAATTTTTATTCTCTTTTCTTCATTAATACTTTTAATTGATTATAAATCTTTGTAGCCTTGCAGTCAATTAAATTTTTTAAAAATACTACTCACCAAATATATATATATATATATTTGAATTAAATTTGAACTATAGTTTTTCTTAAATTTTTCATCACTTTATAAACATCACAGATAAACATACTTACCACTCGCCCAATCTTATGGTAGCCATCACAGTAGCCTAGCCATGATCAACCTTGTTTTTGGCAGGGATTGACAAATCATTATAAGACAGGTAGGTATTCGCAGAAATCAAAATCCAAATTGAGAAACATGGGACAATACATTTTTCCAAATTTTCCCACCAAAATGTCCATAAAACCAAAAACTAAGAAATTAATTACATTAAGAAAAAAAACAAGGTAAAACTGCAGAAGACAAATGGAACAGAGTAAAGAGTGCTGTATTGCATCTGCAATGCCTACCTTCATAGGCGAGCAGATCTCATAGGGATGGAAAATTTTCATTGCTGAAGATTACAAATCTTCAATGTCAACGGCATTCATGCTGCCTATGCCAGTCCTACGGAATGATTTCCTACAAAAGCAAACAGAAATCAAAGAATGAAAATTTTCATTGCTGAAGATTCCAATCTTCAATGCCAGCGGCATTCATGCTGCCTATGCCAGTCCTACTGCATGATTTCCTACAAAAGCAAACAGAAATCAAAGAATCTTATGAGAAGTTATTGCAAGGAAGCTTTTGTACCATATTTGCATAGTGGGATGCGATGCGATTTTAATATGGTTTTAATAATTATCATTTAATCATATTAAATGTAAGACAAATATTTCGATGTGATAGATTTAAATATTTTGAGCCAAAAATATAAGAGAATAGGGATATTGATTAAAGTACAACTTCTAAAATTAAGACTAAATTGCTAAACTGAATTCCAACAGTCCAAGTGTTGAATGCTTGAAAGTGAACTTCTAAATGCAACAAATAAACTTATTATTATGAATGTGTAAGAAGTCATTAATGACAATGTTAAGCGTAACAAACATGAATTATTAATGTGAGTGTATGCAAAATTATAGATTGAAAATGATTATATTAAAGGGATTCCAATAATAACTCCTATTAAAGAAAAGGCTCTGAAAACTATGAATTAGGTGGCTTCTAGTATACAACAAATAGATCAAGATATACCAATTAGATGGGCAATTAAAATTAATTTTGAATTAAAAAATACAAAATGTACAAACCGAGATTATCATAGACAAAATTTGTGCAATCATCGTTAAAAAAAAATATAATAAGAATTCAAAAAAACAGCTACAAGATGTTTGCATATAAGTGAGTTTAATACAAATCCCAATCCTTTAAGAGACGGAGCTTACCTTTCCTAATTTCAAGTGACTGAGCTCATCATCTACATCTTCATCAGACAAATTATCTCCTTCCTCTATTTCAGCATCCGTGAAAGTAAGGGCTCTTTGTAGCTTTCTACGAGAAAGCATCTCAATGTCAACCATGAAAATTGCATTTACCGGGCGGTGATCAGAAAGTTTTAGCTCACTTCTTTTGTAACCCTGTAGCCTTATACCTTTGCCAAATGATAAAACGCGGTCACACCTGCAATAAATTGTTTCTAAATCTTTTTTTAAGAACTTGCAACTTAGGTAATTATGAACTACCAGGCAACATATAACCTAAGCAAGTGTCCTCATTTGGATACACACTAATGCATTTACAGTGGCTTCTACTAAATTTTAAAT